TCAAAAGCCTTCATAGCAGCTGAAGTAAGTGCTATGAGTCTAAAATCATTTAGTAAAGTGGTTTTAGCAACTTTAGGCGCAGAAACTGATTGATTTCTTTAAAACACTGCGGCACAGAACACAGAACGACCCGGAGACGTTAAATATATCCGTGAACACTGAAGCCGGTTGAGAAGCAGTGTTCTAACTCAGCAGGGCAGAGCTTATCTGGTCCAGGTGATTTCTTTGGATTTTGTATATTAAAAACAGATCTAGCTTCATCCTCAGTGATGATAAATCGTGGCGCACTTTCTTTTCAAATCATGCAGAAAACAGATTTAATTAGTTTGGTAAGTCTGTATCATCGTCTGGTACAGGCAGAGACCGTGCTTTGTTAATTGGTCATCAGCCTCAGCCTCAAACTGATCTAGCATCATTAATTTTCACCTTCTGCTCCAACCGCTTTGCATAGATTCTTACTTTACAGGAGAAGGACAAAACATGCTTTACTTTTAATGCAAGTCAGTGTAACCAGGCTTTTTTCAGATTGTTTGGTCCATTCATAATAAAAATTGTAAAGCAGCGATTTATTATATTCCTGGTATAAAATAGATCAGGAGTGTCAAACTCGATGAGTAAATGGAGGGCTCTCGTGGGCTGGAGGTTGGGGAACCAGCCTTGTGACCGGAAGGTCACCAGTTTGATCCCCTGAGCCAACAGTCTGTGGCTGAAGTGCCCTTGAGCAAGATACCTGACCCCCAACTGCTCCCTGGGCACTGCAAATAGGGCTACCCACCACAAGTGTGCTCACTGGGACTAATAAGGGTCATTTAACTTAAAAGGACCATGCTAGAAAATCTCAACAAATCTGTAGGCCAGAGAGAAAAACAACATTTTTTGTTCCATTTTTAATGTTGTGCTACGACCCGAACTGACCACTGTTTATTCAAAATATGCAAAATTTAGATAAAACTTTGTGTTAATATTAGTTGAAAGGCAGCTTGTGTGTTTGGAGAGATGACTGGTGTGGAATTGTGGAGAACTGAGGTGTAACTGCTGTCCCATACACTGTTGTTGGGGTAGGAGAGTCAGTTGCAGTGCATGCTGGGGACTGTAGTGCAGCGCATTGTGAAACAGGCTAATATTCATAAAAAATTAAAATACTCGCGCGGGCCGGAGAGGATTTTGGGCCTTGTGTTTGACACATGGGGAAACAGATGATGCGGTCAGCTGTAACGGTTTGTCACTTGCACAATCCAATGCTGCTGTTACAGTTTGCATGTAATTTGCACAATACTACACTTTCGTACTACAGTTCGGAATCACTGGTCATTTCAGTAAAGTTTATTTTTCAGTAGCGACTCATACAGTGTAGGTTCAAAAGTCATGAGACACCAAAAGGTGTTTTTAGATGATTTATTCAATGTTTCAAGTAGATTTGAAGGGACAGGAAGTCAGTAAATGATGAGAGGGGACAGTAATTGTCTCTTTGCTGTCACTTTAATCGAGTTACTGCTGCTGTTTCAGTTTACATATCATTTGCACAGCTAATCTGATCTACACTTAGTCTGCACTCTGATACGCTTCTCTGTCTGTCTCACACTGTCTTGTTGTGCGTATGTATTGTATTGTGTTGTATCTGTGTTTACCAGAGGAATGAAATGCTCTAAATGAATCTCCTCTTGGTCTCAGGTTCTTCTCCTAGATGTGGTTCAGTCCAGTTTGAGATCAGAGTGATACTTGAGCCTTATTCTCCTGTTTCTGAAATTCGGCTCCTGAGAAATAAAACAGATTTTCTCACTTTGATCAAAATACTGTCGCACATGTCTTCAGTGTCTGACTCTCAGCCCAGTCTCAGCTCAGTAATATCTCCATAAGAACAGTGTGAGATCTCATCGTTCTCTTATACAGCTCTATTCTAGATCACAGAACCCTCTCAGCAGTCTGCCAGTGCAGAAGGAGAACTCACGCTTTTCTCCTCCATCACCAGAACGTCTCACAGTGAGACGCTGATGCTAATCTCCTCTTTTCTCCTGAGGAGGTTCAGGAGAAGCAATTCAGAAATCAATGATCCTTCATTAATATACTGTTGAGATCTGCTTTATTTCTCTGAGACAATCTTAAGAAATTTTCTTGGAGTCGAATCCATCATCATCATCATCATCATCATCGTTAACCGCTTAGTCCAGATAGGGTCGCGGTAGCAGTTGGGAGAGCAGAGAATCCCAGGTGACCCTGTCCCCCGCAACTTCCTCCAGCTCATTCCCGGGGACCCCAAGCCGCTCCCAGGCCAACTTGGAGATATAATCCCTCCAGCGGGTCCTAGGACGACCCCGGGGTCTTATTCCGGTAGGCCGTGCCTGGTACACCCCCACCGGGAGGCGTCCCGGGGGCATCCGGATCAGATGCCCGAACCACCTCAGCTGGCTCCTCTCAATGCGGAGGAGTAGCGGCTCTACTCCGAGCTCCTCCCGGATGGCCGAGCCCTTCCTGGATCGGGGCCTTGTCGTGGCGGAAGGGCTTGTGTGGTCTAGGGATCTTCAGAGCTAAGTCGTCGGGGGCAACATGCTCCTGGTAGGGTCTCCCAGGGCGAACAGGTCTGGAGTGAAGACCCAGACTAACTCGATCCAAAAACCTCCATGAAAAACGGACGCAAAACATCGTGTACCCTGCCCGGGAGAGGGTCACCGGGACCTACCCCTGGAGCCAGGCCTGGGGGTAGCGTCCCTCGGCGAGCGCCTGGTGGCCGGGCAGCCCACGTAACCCGGCCGGGCTCAGCCCGAAGAGGCAACGTGGGGGGACCATGTGGGCCCACCACCCGCAAGGTCCAGCATGGGGGAGTGGTGCAGTGCCGTACAGGCAGTGGGAGATTGCAGGGGGGCCCTTGGTGGCCTAGGCCCCTGCGGCAGAAACTGGCTCTTGGTACGTGGAGTCGAATGGAGTTCTGGAAAATGGATTGGAGAGCAGAACGCTCATACACACAAAATGGAAAGAAAATGAGACAAATGCAAATGAATTTGCCAACACGCTATCGTAAAAGTAACGGGAAACGGTCTCCAGGGTGGCAGGCAGCGTATTCGTAGTCATTCTTCGTAAGAACCTTTTGTGTGGCCGCATTTAGAGGCCGTAAACACTTCTCATCACTGCTGTTGTGCTCAGTTGTGACTTCCTGGTTTTCTCTAGAACAGTGCAAAACAATTTGAAAGGCTTTTACAGGCCAGTGTACTGCAATTTTGAAAATTATATGGAGTTAATCTGCTCTTCTCCATTAATAACGATGTTTCTCTGTTCAGCATAATCTGGCAAAGCTGAACATTTGTAGATTTCTGTTTTGTAAAACTAACATGAATAGGAACCTGCGTCACACTTCAGTGGCGTTTATTAATCTGATGAAACCGATCATTATTAAGTGTTTCTGTAGAACAGTGTTCTGAATGTCAGCGCACATCGTTCAGAAACCATCACGACAATAAAGGCAGCAGCTACTTTTATACAGTGATAGGAAACACAGCCAGAGACTTAGAGAGGAAAATGACATCTCTGTAATGTCCTCTGGGTTTCTCAGACGCTAGAGGGCGCTCCCGAGCTAGTCCAAAATGTATGGGTTAAGATGGAGCTTTTGAGCAAAATCATAGTTTATAAATGATTAAACATTTTTAATATAAAAATACATTCATTACCTGAACACAGAACAGCATAAAACATTTTAACACTGCTGTTACATTTTTAAGAGCTTTTAAACTCGAGTTATAGGAGTTTAAAACGGCGCCTCATGTACGCTCATGACTTCTGTGAGCACGAACAGCCAATGAGCTACACCGCTTACCAACCAATCAGCACTCAATAACAGTTATGCCAACCAATCAGCCCTCAGTAGCAGTAATGCTAACCAATCAGCACTCAGTAGCAGTAATACTAACCAATCAGCACTCAGTAGCTGTGATGCTAACCAATCTGCACTAAGTAGCAGTAATGCCAACCAATCAGCACTCAGTAGCAGCGATGCCAACCAATCTGCACTCAGTAGCAGCGATGCCAACCAATCTGCACTCAGTAGCAGCGATGCCAACCAATCAGCGCTCAGTAGCAGCGATGCCAACCAATCAGCGCTCAGTAGCTGCGATGCCAATCAAACAGCGATCAGTAGCTTTAATGTTTTTAGCCGTTGAGCTCCATTCACCCCCATTCATTGAGGACTCGCTCGTCGGCGCCCTCTGCTGTTTGCAGTCCTGTTTTTAATGTAATGGGAAAAACAGGAAGAAGCCAGACTCCTCATAAACCAGCTCTGATACAGCAGCACAAAGAAAGCTTCGATTCCACACACTGATCAGTTTTACTGACCGCAGTTAAAGAGGGCAAACAAATGTGATGAGTGACCCAATATTTGATGAATTCAAAGGGATATTCTGCGTTTTTTCAAAGTTTTCTGCTTAATGCAGTGTGTAAGATGTAAACAGAGTGATTCAGAGTGGTTTGGTGTGAAATGGTTCAGATGTCTTTACAGTGGTGGTGATAGGAACCAGGGGTCACCATGACTACAACACAAATATAGACATTTTATTTACTATCCAGAACCACCAGTGAACCTACACGAGTCTTCTGAGTTTTTATAAATCTAGGGGGGACTATTTTGCCTCACAGCTCCCTGCATATTATGTATCCCTCCACCATGAATGGAGTTTAAGTTCTCTAAACTATCATAAAACAGTGTCTCAGTCATCAGGCAGTGAATTCATAACCATTTCATGTAGGAACTTTCTGTGAGGGAGCTTTTAGAGGTGGACATCTGGTTCCTATCACCACCACTGTGAACAGATCTGACTCTGTAAGTTTTTCTAGAACGGGGCGTTTCACACCAAACCACTCTGAACGACTCTGATTACATCTTAACCAGTTAATTATGCAGAGATTTAAAAAAATAAAAGCAATTTTGACAAAAAAAGCAGCTCCTGTTAAATTCCTCACTTCCCTCATCCCAATTTCAAGGTCACTAACGGGTCACTCTTTTCTCTTCTGGTCAGAATGGAAGCCTGCGGTTGACATGGCGGCCCTGGACTGCGCCGACGAGAACAACAGAAGAGTCTGCACCGGGTTCGGCATCACCGGGTATCCCTCTATAAAGGTAAACAGCTCGAGATCTTCGGCTCTGTGATGTCACAAAAAACAACACATTTACATGTTTAGCCTACAGCAGTTTAGCCCCGCCCACTCACACTGAAGTTATAAGGAGCGTTTTAGCCCAGACTGCTTTTTGAACGGGGACAACCAATCAAAACAGAGCTCATTTGCATATATCGGTCTTAAAGTCACAGTGACAAAAATGAATGAATGAATTTCATTATAAAATAAATTGCAGAGAAAACACTGTTAGCGTTTCTAGCTCCTTTTCCTCTGTAACGGCACTTTTTTATCCTGATCTAGCTTTTAATTTTTAGTTAGATTTGTTTAACTATCCTAATTTAATTTCTAATTTTCAATTGAAAGATTTCCTCTTTTAAATCTGTTGTTTTAATCATGTTTTTAATTCTCATTCACTTCTGTATTTTCTCATTTGTAAAGCATTTTGAATGACTGGAGTGCATGAAAGGTGCTATATACATAAACCAGCCTTGCTTTCATGGAAAATTCTGCTCCATTTTCAGTATTTTTGCTGCTAACATGCATTAATAAAGTATAAGAATCTGTCCCAAGTCTTTAGATGGTAAAGTTGTAGCAAATTAAGTGCTGTACTTTTATGAATTACTTTAATGAATTAGAAATACGGCTGAAAGTGTTAAAATAGAAAGAAAACATAACAACAACAATAATAATAATAATAATAATAATAATAGGTTAACAATATGGACAGAAGGAGAATCCGGAGTGCTGTACTGGTCTTCATAGACACTCTAAAAGTAATTGTGTGTGATCTCATGCATTATAATCATCAAGTTCATCTTTCTCTAACAGAGAGACCCTCATTATTTTTGAGCGCATATTTTCAGTGCTCCAGATGTTTTGATAGTACTGAAGTGTACAGCCCTCTTTACAGGCAGATTAAAGCAGGCAGGAACAAACAAACAACCGAATTGAAGAGATGATTTAAATTAAACAATAAAAAGAGGCAAAGATGAATCAACAAGTGGACACAGAGTAGAGAGAATACAAAGAAAAAGACGATAAAAGACGCTGCGGTGTTTGAGAAGCGGCTCCCACACTGACCAACCTCTGTGTGTGTGTGTGCGCGTGTGTGTGCGCGTGCGTGTGTGTGTGTGCGTGTGTGCGTGTGTGTGTGTGTGCGTGTGTGTGTGTGTGGTCCTCTGTTCTCAGAATAAACCAGTATTGTTCACTTTCAGCTTTAACGTCTACAAGCTGTGGCTCTGAAAGCTAAACTGAACGAGAGAGAGAGAGAGAGAGAGAGGGGGGGGGGCAGGATGGGGGTGTGGGGGTGGAGGGGATGGGAGAGAGAGAGAGAGGGGGGCAGGATAGGGGGGTGGAGGGGATGAGAGAGAGAGAGAGAGAGAGAGAGGGGCAGGATAGGGGGTGAAGGGGATGAGAGAGAGAGGAGCCCACAGCTGGAACCAATTTAAAGCAGGGGATGCATACAGCTGCAGCTAACACTATGGGGGTCCGTTTAGGGTCAAATACACAGACACTCGCACACACACACACTGCGTACACACACCTCTGAAACACTCACAGGTCCACCGGAGCCACAGGGCCGAGCGGACCTTACGGCCCACCACTTTCTGATGTTTGGGACGCTTACATCAAAAAGAAAATCTCTAACTGAACTGCTCAGAGCGCTGACATAACCAATCACAGTCTCCGCGCCAGAACCAATCACAGTCTCCGCTTCAGCTGGGAGGCGGGATGTTTCCCAAACAGCAAAGCCTTAGTGAGTCTAGTGACAGGAGGTTTTTTGAGTGCGTGCGTGTGTGTGTGTTCGCGTGCGTGCGTGTGTGTGTCTGCGTGTGTGTGCGTGTGTGTGTGCGTGTGTGTGTGCGTGTGTGTGTGCGTGTGTGTGTGCGTGTGCGTGTGTGTGTGCGTGTGTGTGTGTGTGTGTGTGTGTGTGTGTGTGTGTGTGTGTGTGCGTGTGTGTGTGTGTGTGTGTGTGTCGGAACAGAACCTATCTATATATACGTGTCTGTAATTTTGTTTTTCAGTTGTCTTTTTTACATAATTTGAAAATGACTGTTTCCCTTTACATTGTGTGTAAATTTCATGTTAAATGGACCAAAAGAAACGACCCAAAATGTTTTGATGTATTTCACCCTAAACGGTCCCCCATATAACAGAGTTCTCTCTCTCTCTCTCTCTCTCTCTCTCTCTCTCTCTCTCTCTCTCTCTCTCTCTCTCTCTCTCTCTCTCGCGCTTTCTTTCTTTCTTTCTCTTTCTCTCTCTCTCTCTTTCTTTCTTTCTTTTTTTCTTCCTTCCTTTCTTTCCGTCTTTTTCTTTCTTTCTTTCTCTCTCTCTCTCTCTCTCTCTCGCTTTCTTTCTTTCTTTCTTTCTTTCTCTCTCTCTCTCTCTCTCTCTCTCTCTCTCTTTCTTTCTTTCTTTCTTTCTTTCTTTCTTTCTCTCTCTCTCTCTCTCTCTCTCTCTCTCTCTCTCTCTTTCTTTCTTTCTTTCTTTTTTCTTCCTTCCTTTCTTTCCGTCTTTTTCTTTCTTTCTCTCTCTCTCTCTCTCTCTCTCTCTCTCTCTCTCTCTCTTTCTTTCTTTCTCTCTCTCTCTCTCTCTCTCTTTCTTTCTTTCTTTCTTTCTTTCTTTCTTTCTCTCTCTCTCTTTCTTTCTTTCTTCCTTCCTTCCTTCCTTTCTTTCCGTCTTTCTCTCTCTCTTTCTTTCTCTCTCTTTCTTTCTTTCTTTCTTTCTTCCTTTGTTCTCTCTTTCTTTCTCTCTCTCTCTCTTTCTTTCTTTCTTTCTTTCTTTCTTTCTTTTGTTCTCTCTTTCTTTCTTTCTTTCTTTCTTTCTTTCTTTCTTTCTCTCTCTTTCTTTCTTTCTTTTGTTCTCTCTTTCTTTCTCTCTCTCTCTCTTTCTTTCTTTCTTTCTTTCTTTCTTTCTTTCTTTCTTTCACTCTCTCTCTCTTTCTTTCTTTCTTTCTTTCTTTCTTTCTTTCTCTCTCTCTCTCTCTCTCTCTCTCTCTCTCTCTCTCTCTCTCTCTCTCTCTCTCTCTCTCTCTCTCCCCACTCTCTCAGTTCTTTCCTGCGTATTCCGGTGAGGAGTTTATCGGAGAGAGTCTCAGAGGTATGAAAGTGATTCATTTTACCACCTTTTATCTCTTCAGGTATTTACAGAAGTTCACTTTATTAACCCTTAAAGACCCCTTAGAGTTCTCATAAGTATTATAGTGTATTCAGCAGATGGTCAGTGGTCAGTAGATGGTCAGTAGCTGGTGTTTCAGCTCTAAATGTGTGTGCAGATTTTCCGCGGGATGTCCGAGGCCTTCGCCACCTCATTATTGACAAACTGGAGTCCCACAAAGAACCAGCACCCCCAGCATGTCCACCACTGGAACCGGCCAGGTCAGAGACACACACACTTACACGTTGGTATTACTATGCTTGTGGGGACATCTGTTGCCTTCTGTATTACTGTAGCCAGTAATTCTACACCTACGCCTAAACCTGCCCTTAACCTCAGCAATCATCCATAAATACATGCATAAATATAGTAATCTAGCCCTTAAATAGCATTAACTGTGGAGCCTCGTGGGTGTCACCCGGTTATTTGTCAACAGAGCATGATGCCCATGCTGCTGCTGTTTGTATAGATGTGTAGTTGTGCCCTTAATCATAGATAACATGATAGCTGCAGCTGAGAAAGGTGGGCACTGTGCTGTGAAGACTCCTCATTGGTGTTACATTATGGAAGAACAGAGCAGGTGCGAAGAAAATACTGTTGGTTTGAAGGCAAAAAATGTTAATTTGTTTATAATTAAATGTTTTCCTGTAGCTAAAGACTGTTTACTGGCTGAAAGCAGGTGCATTTCAAACCCTGCACACAGTTTCCTTAGTTTTGAATGAGATGCATTGCTGATTAAAACAGCTTATGTCCCACAGTGGCCACGTTTACATGCAGCCTAATAATCTGTCAGTAATCCGACTAAATCTACACCTCAATAGGAATAGTCTAGTCAGATTGAGGCCATTCAGAATACAGTTTCTATCTGATTGATCGAGGTGGGTAATCCTGTAAATAATCCGTTAAATAGAAGAATAATATCTGTGTAAACGCCTGTATCTGATTACATTCCCTATCGGAAAGTTTAAGTCCGTTCTGATCATGTTCGTCACGTCATAGTGAAAGTTTATACCGTTCAACATGGCGGAGCAGAAACTGGTCTGCAGAGGAGACGAAGTTTATGCTCTGATCTTTAAAAGACGGCGGTGGGACGGACGTCCAGCTTATGTGTCTCAGAACACGACGTCTTCCTCTCGGCCTCCTTTAATAAGGACATGTGAAGGACGTTTTCCTGAGTCTGACATCATTTTAAAGCAATTAAAAACACAAGCGCTGCTCACTGCTGCTCATCTCACTCCGACTGGACTCACGTGATGCTGGTTGTCATGGTAACATCTACACTGTGTTAGTCTATGCATGCTCGTAATTCTGGGTCTGATTTAGTGACCATGTAAACTGAGATTTTCATCAGATTGTTGAGTACAGTGAGAATAAACACCTCAGTCTTAATCTATAATCGGAATGTAAACACAGCCGCTGTCAGAAACCACATAATCAAGTGTATTAGAGATCCCTCCACACAGTTTGAGGCAGATGAATTAGGCATGGAGTTAGCATGGGTACTCGAGTCAGTGACATGACTTGAGACTCAAAAACATGAAGAAAACTGATTAAATTAGAAGCACCGACTTTTATGTGGTAAATGAGTAAATGTACCCTTTATTTCCTGCGTTTTGTAAGTGACTTTGCTTGTCAGTTGTGCTAGTCATGCTTGGTCATTGCTGCAATACCGTTCTCTCACATCTCTCAGTGACGCAGCTTCAAATACTGAGCCTCTCACTACAGAAAAACCTTCAGTCTGATGGACAGAACGCAGCGGTGTTTAAGAGAAAGAGGCAGAACAACTCCAAACTTTTGGCCAGCGTGTAGCTTCGGATCACAAGTATTCAAAGCTAGCCTAAGAGCTAATTTAGCTGAGGTTGTTGACTGATCTAGCTGAGGCTTTAATAAGTACAGATCACGTTCTTTTAAATCTTATTAAAACTTTGGCTAGATCAGCCGTCGCGCTAGCCTACTCACATAGTTGCTATGCAAACTGCAGACTAACCATGTCATGTTTTGCCTCTTTCCTTTAAACGCTGTATTTATTCCGTGTAGCACTTCAGTTCTGTTCTTCAGACTAAAGGGTTTCTGTACTTAAAGTCTCACTGAAAGACTAAACAGAAAACCTCTACTAAGGACTCAAGACTCGACTCAAACCCTGAGACTCTACTTGGGCTCTTACCCTAATGACTTGACTCAGAATTGCACCCCAAATGAGTAGAAACACGACTCAGACTCTCAGGCTACAGACTAGACTTGGACTCGCACCCAGTGACTAGAGACCCGAATCAGACTCTTGCGCTAGAGACTAAACTCAGTCTCTTAAGCTAGAGAGTTGGCTCAGACTCTTACACTAGAGAGTCGACTCAGACTCGCACCCCTGTGACTAGGGACTCGACTCAGACTCTCAGGCTACAGACTAGACTTGGACTCCCACCTTAGGGACTCAAGACTCACTCAAACTTGCACCCCAGTGACGAGAGACCCGAATCAGATTTTCACGCCAGAGACTAAACTCAGACGCGCACGCCAGTGACTGGAGACTTGACTCAGACTCTTACACTAGAGACTCGACTCAGACTCTTGCACTCCAGAGTCGACTCAGACTCGTTCCCCCGTGACTAGGGACTCGAATCAGACTCTTGCGCTAGAGACTCGACTCAGACTCGCACTCCAGTGACTAGATACTTCTCTTATACTCTTGCGTTAGAGACCCGAATCAGACCCTTATGCTAGAGACTTGACTCAGACTCTTATGCCAGAGACCTGAATCAGACTCTCACACTACAGACTCGACTCAGGCTCACACCCCAGTGACTAGAGACTCGCATCAGACTCTTGCACTAGAAACTAAACTCAGTCTCTTACGCTAAAGACCTGAATCGGACTCTTACACTAGAGACTTAACTCCGACTCGCACCCCAGTGACTAGAGTCGACTCAGTCTCTCAGGCTAAAGACTTTGACTTTGACTAGCGTCCCAGTAACTAGAGACTTGACTAAGACTCGCACCTCAGTGACTCAACTCAGACTCTCACTCTACAGACTAGACTTGGACTCGCACCTCAGAGACTCAAGACTCCCCAGTGACTAGAGGCCCGAATCAGACTCTGACGCCAGAGACTTGTCTCAGACTGTTGCGGTAGAGATTAAACTCAGACTCGCACCCCAGTGACTAGAGATTCGGCTCAGACTCTTACACTAGGGATTCGACTTAGACCCTTGCGCTAGAGGCCCGAATCAGACTTGCACTTTAGTGACTAGGGATTTGACTCAGACTCTTACACTAGAGATCTGAATCAGACTCTTATGCTAGAGACCCAACTCAGACTCCTGTGACTAGGGACTCAACTCAGACTCTTGCACTAGAGACCTGAGTCAGACTCTTACGCTAGAGACTCAACTCCGACTCGCACCCCAGTGACTAGAGTCAAATCAGTCTCTCAGGCTAGAGACTTGACTTTGACTAGCATCCCAGTGACTAGAGACTTAATTAGGACTCGCACCTCAGTGACTTGACTCAGACTCGCACCCCTGTGACTAGGGACTCGACTCAGACTCTTGCGCTAGAGACCCGAATCAGACCCTTATCCTAGGAACCTGACTCAGACTCGCACTCCAGTGACTCAGACTCACACTCCAGTGACTAGGGACTCGACTCAGACTCTTACACTAGAGACTCAACTCAGACTCTCACCTCAAAGACTCTAGATTCGAATCCTAGTGACTACAGACTTGACTCCCACTCAAACTCCTGAGACTAGAGACTTGATTGGACTCTCATCCTAGAGACTCTGCTTAGACTCTAACCTTAAAGCCCAGTGACTGGAGACACAACTCAGACTCAATCCCCAGACTAGAGTCTTGTCTCAGACTCGATCCCCAGTGATATTACTGTTTCTTATGTATGTGTGTTTGTGTTCTGCAGTGCTGCTGAGATCGACAGCTTCTTTGAGAATAATAACGTGCAGCACCTGGCGCTGGTGTTTGAGACGAACAGCTCATATGTGGGCAAAGAGGTGAGAGCCACTTCACACAGAAACCAGTTTCAGCCGCTCAGCTCCTCTCACAGAAACCAGTTTCAGCCGCTCAGCTCCTCTCACAGAAACCAGTTTCAGCCGTTCAGCTTCTCACACAGAAACCAGTTTCAGCCGCTCAGCTCCTCACACAGAAACCAGTTTCAGCCGCTCAGCTCCTCACACAGAAACCAGTTTCAGCCGTTCAGCTCCTCACACAGAAACCAGTTTCAGCCGCTCAGCTCCTCACACAGAAACCAGTTTCAGCCGCTCAGCTCCTCACACAGAAACCAGTTTCAGCCGCTCAGCTCCTCACACAGAAACCAGTTTAAACTGTTCAGCTCCTCACACAGAAACCAGTTTCAGCCGCTCAGCTCCTCACACAGAAACCAGTTTCAGCCGCTCAGCTCCTCACACAGAAACCAGTTTCAGCCGTTCAGCTCCTCACACAGAAACCAGTTTAAACCGTTCAGCTCCTCACACAGAAACCAGCTTCAGCTGCTCAGCTCCTCACACAGAAACCAGCTTCAGCCGCTCAGCTCCTCACACAGAAACCAGCTTCAGCCGCTCAGCTCCTCACACAGAAACCAGTTTCAGCCGCTCAGCTCCTCACACAGAAACCAGTTTAAACTGTTCAGCTCCTCACACAGAAACCAGCTTCAGGCGCTCAGCTCCTCACACAGAAACCAGTTTCAGCAATTCAGCTCCTCACACAGAAACCAGTTTCAGCCGCTCAGCTCCTCACACAGAAACCAGTTTCAGCTGCTCAGCTCCTCACACAGAAACCAGTTTCAGCCGCTCAGCTCCTCACACAGAAACCAGCTTCAGCCGCTCAGCTCCTCACACAGAAACCAGTTTCAGCCGCTCAGCTCCTCACACAGAAACCAGCTTCAGCCGCTCAGCTCCTCACACAGAAACCAGTTTCAGCCGCTCAGCTCCTCACACAGAAACCAGTTTCAGCCGCTCAGCTCCTCACACAGAAACCAGCTTCAGCCGCTCAGCTCCTCACACAGAAACCAGCTTCAGCAATTCAGCTCCTCACACAGAAACCAGCTTCAGCCGTTCAGCTCCTCACACAGAAACCAGTTTAAACTGTTCAGCTCCTCACACAGAAACCAGCTTCAGCTGCTCAGCTCCTCACACAGAAACCAGCTTCAGCCGCTCAGCTCCTCACACAGAAACCAGCTTCAGCAATTCAGCTCCTCACACAGAAACCAGTTTAAACTGTTCAGCTCCTCACACAGAAACCAGTTTCAGCCGCTCAGCTCCTCACACAGAAACCAGTTTCAGCCGCTCAGCTCCTCACACAGAAACCAGCTTTCAGCCGCTCAGCTCCTCACACAGAAACCAGTTTCAGCCGCTCAGCTCCTCACACAGAAACCTGGACTGAAGTAGTACAAACTCAGTTTTAATGGGGTGATGTTCGGTGATGTGGGAATATTAGAGATGTGCATCGTGGGGAGCAGAGATGTGTGTTTGTTCCTGACTGATGGTGACGGCTGACCTGTCTGTGTTCTGCAGGTGATTCTGGATCTGCTGCAGTACGAGAACATCGCTGTGCGTCGTGTTCTGAGTTCAGAGAAGGATCTGGTCTCTCGGCTCGGAGTCACAGACTTCCCTTCGTGTTACCTGTACTACACACCCACCAACTACTCCAGACTCCCAGTGTGAGTTCAGCTTCAGATCAGCTCCTTTCACTCAAACCTTCTTCATTCCTGAGAATCCTGAGGGGAGAGCAGGCACAGCCTAGCACAGTTTAGACATTTTAAAATGTTTGAGCAGCACTAATGTCTGCTACAAATGTAAACAAACTTTGTTTTTGACCTCCTGCTGTTCGTGCACAATATAGCCGGAAGCAGCCGGAGTGCAAACTGGATATAAGAGTCGCTAGAAAAGTTGATTCAGTTGATTCACGCACAGTTAGTTCAGTGCACTTTTGTGTTGTTTATCTTTCCAGCCTAAATATATAAAATATATGCATTTAAATAAATACAACCCCATTTCCAATAAAGTTGTGATGCTGTGCAGAATGTAAATAAAAATGTAAACCATATTTTTAAAAGAAAATAGTACAAAGACGACATATCAAACGTTGAAACTGAGAAATTTTATTGTTTTTTGAAAAATAAATGCCCATTTTGAATTTGATGCCAACAACACGTTCCAAAAAAGTTGGGACGGGGGTCTGCCATCCAGACGACGTCTTTTTCAGGGAAGTATTTGCTTATTTTAGCAAGACAATGTTAAACCACATTCTGCATGTATTACAACAGCATGGCTCTGTATTAAAAGAGTCCGGGCACTAAACTGACCTGTCTGCAGTCCAGACCTGTCACCACTGAAAACATTTGGCACATTATGAAATGGAAAAATACAACAAATGAGCCCCTGAACTGATGAGCAGCTGAAATCCTGTATCAAACAAGAATGGAAAACATTTCACTTTCTAAACTACAGCAGTGTCTCCTCAGTTCCCAAACACGTCAGTGTGCTGTTAAAGAAGAGGTGTTGAAACACAGTGGTAAACAGGCCCCCGTCCCAACTTTTTTGGAACGTGTTGCTGGCATCATATTCAAAATGGGAACATTTCTTAAAAAAAAACAAAAAACAGAATTTCTCAGTTTCAGTATTTGATGTGTTGCCTTTGTAGTATTTTCCTTTAAAAATATGATTTACATGATTTGCGTATCATTGCATCCTATTTTTATGTACACTCTGCACAGTGTCCCAACTTTTTTGGAAATGGGGTTGTATGATTAGTGAAAAGAGGCTAGAGCAGCAAATATCAACACAATAAAATTGAAATGTTTTTCACCTGACATCTGTAGTACGGTGCTGATGGATCTGTGCAAAGTTCCAAAATGAACAGTTGTGAGTGTATACGGGGGGATATTATGTGGAGTTCACTGGTTGTTTACTTTGGGGGTCTTAGTAGTAATAGTGTGTTAAACTGCCCACCACCCCCCCTGTGTGGAGGCTGTACTTTAGCCTGGCTCTCACTGTGAGCTGTTTATCTGCTTCTAAACACTGATATATTTATTATAACACACCAAGAGGAGATTAAAATAATACAGAAGTGAATTCTGTCAACTCAGTAATCAAAAACACTCATGATAAACTTTTAAGGGACAAAAACATTCTTCATAGTGAATCTGTCTGAGTGAGTCAAAATCGAGTGTCCTGGTTTCAGGCTGATCATTCCAGATTATCCTGTGGTGTAGTGTGTGTGACCATTTGGAGCTAGACCTTGAGTTTGGGCCATACACATCAAAGCTCAGTGATTTTTAAATGTGGCACTGTCATAAGATGCCACCTTTTCCACAAGTCAGTTTGTGAAATTATGCCCTGCTCTGGTCAACTATAAGTCCTGTTATATGAAACAAATGAAATGAAAGCATCTAGGAGCACCAACAGCTCGGACACAAAGCGGCAGACCACATAAACTCGGAGTGAGGCCGCTGAGTGCTGAAGCTTGTAGCACATAAAAATCCCCTATCTTTGTTGCATCACTCACTACAGAGTTCCAACACAAGAACTGAGAGCTTTATGAAATAGCTTTCAGTGGCCGAACCGCTGCACACAAGCCTAAGATCACTATGCGCAGTGCCAAGCGTCGGCTGGAGTGGTGTAGAGCACCGCCACTGGACTCTGGAGCAGCGGAAACGTTGCCAGGAGAACGTTACCTACCGGAATGCAGTGCCAACAGTACAGTTTGGTGGAGGAGGGATGATGGGCTGGGCTGTTTTTCAGGCCCCTTAGTTCCAGTGAAGGGTGATGTTGATGCTACAGCTCAAAGACATTTTGGACAGTTGTATGCATCCAGCTTTGTGTCAGCAGTTTGGGGAAGAGCCTTTCCTGTTTCAGCATGACTGAACCCCAGTGCACAAAGCAGCTCCATAAAGACGTGGATTGATGAGTTTGGTGTGGAGGAACTCCAGTGGCCCTCACAGAGCCCTGACCTCAACCCCACTGAACACCTTTGGGATGAGCTGGAACGTTGATTGTGAGCCAGGCCCTCTCGTACACCATCAGTGTCTGACCTCACAAATGCTCTTTTGACTGGACACAAATTCCCACAGACTCTCTCCATCTTGCAGAAGCTTCCCAGAAGAGTGGAAGCTGTTAGAGCTGCAAGGGGGACCAACTCCATATTAATGCCTATGGATTTGTAGTGGAACATGCAACAAGCTCATATAGGTGTGATGGTCCAAGTGTCCACATACTTTTGGACATATACACCACTCCCTTTGAACACCTGTTAATAAATCAGAACTGCGATTTGTGCTGTTATTTGGGGTCCGTATGTCACCGTGGTGATTTGTAGCCCTGCATAAATTGGAGAGTTTTTGCTTTGTTGTGCAGGTTGGCGTCAGACTTGGCATGCAGGCGGAGTTTTTAGATGACAAATGCGGGAAGGAAATGATTTATGGGTCATTATTTATTGCTCCCCTTCGTCTGTGTACGGCATACACTGTGTGTGTATGTGTTTTAATCTGGTGGGGGGAACAATAGTGTTTCTTTCACCTCCCAGAGCCGCACAGCAACAGATGGCCGCCAGCAGAGCGGAATGCATGATTGATCTTGGTCGACACACAAAACACCGTGGCTCCAGGTTGAAATGGAGTCAAAGGACAATAAGCGGAAAAAAACGGGGGTTTCAAAAACTGATTAAAAGCTACAGAGAAAATGTGACCCTTAACAACCACCTGGAAAAGCTGGTGGACCCCAAAACTGCCCCCATCAGATAAGCAGCACTTAAAGCTTTCATCTCTGAGAGAGAGGAGAAAATCAAGCTGCTTCAGATCTGAAAACATCCACAGGTGTTTCTGTCCATCCTTCCACTGTGAGAAGACGACTCAGCGCTGTGGGTCTGAAAGGATGTGTAGCTGTCAAGAAGAACCTCACTGAGAAAAGGAGACGGACACATCAAACAAAGAAGCTGAACGATGGACTGACCACCCAAATAACTACTGTGATTTATTAATTCAACACTATGAATTATTCAGTGTCTACAATTAATTATTCAGTCGGTACTACAAATTATTCAGTATCTACTATGAATTATTCAGTCACTACTACCAATTATTCAGTATTGTTTTATTTTTTATTTTTTTATTTTGGGTGGCATTTCACTCTCAGCCTACAGTGATGCTGATGTGTAAAAGCCCCAGCAGCACCGCTGTGTCTGATAGACTCTTATCAGCACCACACACACTATCACGCCAGTGTCACTGCTGTGATCAGAATGATTCGCTATCCAAATCATATGTGGACACCATTAGCCCTGTGGTCAGAAACTGACCAGTGATGAGTGGACTACAGTCTGTACCTACATGGAGCCACAAGCATGTGTTTATTATAACAAAATGTAAAATGTCATATGGCATCTCTCTCTCTCTCTCTCTCTCTCTCTCTAGGCATAGTGAGGCTCGTACCTTTTACTCTTACGCCCTCCAGAGGCTGCCGGGTGTAGTGCGGTCAGGAAGACCTCACCCAGCCATCACTGACCTGCAGAGGAACCAGACTGAGGAGCCGTGGAGGGAGTTCAACAGGTGAGGGGCAGAGAAGAACTGGGTCAGAACAGGAGTAGAGCCAGGAAAGAACTGGTAGATCCAGGAAAAAAACTGGGCCACAGGATAGAACTGGGGGACAACCAGGATAGAACTGGACTGAACTGCGGCAGAACCAAGATAGAACACTGCAAAAAACAATGTCTTGGCAAGTAAAATGATCTTACATCAGCCAATATGCCTAATATTTTGTCAGCTTATTAAAACAAATTTCTAGAAATTTATTTACTTGTTTTAAAAAGAAATAGGTTACATAATTTTATAATAAGCTCCCAGCAATCTAAAAATGAGAAATATTAGACATATATGTACAATATATAATTTTATTTATATATATATATATATAAGAGAGAGAGATTATATATGGATAGATAGATAGATAGATAGATAGATAGATAGATAGACAGATATAGATATATAACTAAAAGAAATGACCCAGAAAACGACCCAGAAAGTGTGTGTGTGTGTGTGTGTGTGTGTGTGTGGACGTTTATGTATGGACATGTAATGGACATTTCTGTAGAATGACCCTGATTTAATATATATATATATATATATATATATATTATCAGGGTCATTCTACAGAAATGTCCATTTTTGTGTCCCTAGCATTTACAGATATTACACTTGAAAAAACATGTTAGGGTTACAGTTTATTTATATTTTTTAATAAAGCAATTAACAGTTACACCTTGAGCCTCAATTTAGCAATATTGTTTTTTAAATCAATTATCTGGAATTCCAGTCACCACAGAAGAGCTCGTCCCCACAGTCATGTGTGAAGGCTGAGGCCATATTTTGAAGAAAAAAACGTTTTTCTGCAATTTTAACTACTATAATCTATACATGACTATGGAATATATAAATTACATGACATAAAGAAAACAAATGCCAAATAAAGGATCTACGAAGAAAAGCTCATGGTGAGTCCACTGTGTCTTTCAGTTATCAGAGATTTTCTCATTTAGCTCATGATTTCATATGAAGCTTTTAGCTGAAGTCACTGGTGTGACCGACTTTATTCCGAGGTAACTGTGAAAAAATAGAACACAAATGGATTAAATTCCATATTTTAGTTGATATTCCATGACTGACATGTTATATTGTCCACTCTTTAGGCGAAATGTCTTCACGTTGTGGTTTTGCTGCAGTCTGATCAGAGCGATGCTCACAGTGAGCTGCTGTTTGTTTCCTCTGTGCAGGACTCGTGTTTATATGTCTGATCTGGAGTCAGCACTGCATTATTCTCTCCGTGTGGAGCTCTCTGCTCACAGCACCATCAGCGGAGACGCTCTGACTGCGCTTCGGCACTACACCTCTGTACTGGCCAAGGTGAGTCACTGCAGGGCTGCACAGTATATCATTTATTAATAATTATCATGATATCAGCCTTTGCCAGTGCCGGCGGCTCTACACCTAATAAGCGACATAAGCAGCTGCTTAGGGCTCTGCAGCCACCAGGGGGCCCCCTGACACTTACTGCACCAATGTGTTGTCTCAGATGCTCGAGTTTCGGTGAAACAGCTACGGGTCAATCATGTCTCAAAAAAGAACATCTGGACCTAAAGAGAAAAGGACAGAGAGGGGATGATTAGAAAAAAGCTAAAAGATAAAGGCATTTTTTTATTTTGTGATGTTAACATTGTCATTTGTTTTGACTCGTAGTTGGACAACAGGAAGTAACCGATCTGAATGAAGCAGGTTTAACTTAACAACTTTCGCTGTTAATCCAGGTTTGGATACTCAGATTATTCACCATTGTGCTGTTAAACATAGAGCTACTTTGACCAAAACTGCACATTTTATGCACTGTAAAGTTTGTAGGCTGTAAGGCCCCAAAAATAAAGTTGTATGTGTGTATATATATTTATTTTCTAGAAAGACCTACAGAAATAAACAAATATATCAAATTCCTTAAGCTTCCCTATGATGGGGATTTGTACAGGCTAGTAGTGATACTGTTTCTAGTATTACTAGTAGGATAGAATAGTAGGATGGCAGATCATTTTGCGATGATAGGGTCATTCTACAGAAATGTCCACGTTTTTCTATCCATACGTGTCACTGGTGTTACTGATCCTCATTGGTGTTCCACATAATAAAGGGAACACCAGAGACATTTTTAATAAAAATGCATTTTACAAAATAACTGCTACAGAGCATCAAACCACATGTTGTCAATCATGGAATATCCACTAAAATATGGAATTTAATCCATTTGTGTTCTGTTTATTCACAATTACCTCAGAATAAAGTCGGTCACACCAGTGACTTCAGCTAAAAGCTTCATATGAAATCATGAGCTAAATGAGAAAATCTCTGATAACTGAAAGACACAGTGGACTCACCATGAGCTTTTCTTCACAGATTCTCAGAAAACAGGTAAGAGGAGGTCGAGTGATGTCATCAGTGTGACTTTTATTTCAAAATAAGAGATTTTTTGTTATGCAGTAACACCAGTGACACGACTCCTGGGGAACTTTCATTATATATTTTATTTATTTGTCATTTGTTTTCTTTGTCATATAAATCATATATTTCATAGTCATGTAGAGATTATTGCAGTTAAAAGTGCAGAAAAACATGTTTTTACCTAAAAATATGGCCTCAGCCTTCACACATGACTGAGGATGAGCTCTTCTGTGGAGCTTGGAATTCTAGATAATTGATTTAAAAACCAATATTGCTAAATTGAGGCTCAAGAAGGTGTAATTGTTAAAATTACATTTTTTTAAAATTTAAATATAAATAAATTGTAACCCTAACATGTTTTTCAAGTGTAATATATCTGTAAACGCTGTGACACCAAAATGGACATTGCTGTAGAATGACCCAATAACAGAAATATGATTTGGCGTTTATGAATATCAGTACCCTGTTCAGACTGAATCCTACAGAATACCACTCAGATTAACTGACAGAATATCTTTAATCAAGGGAGCAAAACAAGTGCTGTTCAGGAATCAGCATCAAAGGTATCAGTGTCGGTTTTGGTGGCCGCCACCAATCCCAGCTGCAGTACATCAATCTGACCACAAGGGGGAGTGAGAGACAGTAACCTGAAATACTGCACTTATGATTTGTGACAATACATACTGATATGACCTGAGTACGTGACAGATGGATAGAGAGACAAACACACTATAAACAATATAGTTTTCAAAATTTTGGAATCACTGTTTTCATTAATATATAAAATCAGTTTTGTTGACATTAAAATCTACATGATTCCACACGACTTCGTAGCTTTCAGATCATCAGTGCAAAGCTGTAAACAGAAATATAGGAATGTTAGACGTGTGCAGAAAGAAGAACTGAGCTGAAGATTCTAAAATGACTGAAAAAATCAGCAGAACATCAAAAATGAAGTTCTGATAAGGCCTTGATGGTGTTGATCAAAGCTCAAGGCACATAATTCATCAAGAAATTACACTAAATAGAAAATTACAGTGTATTATTCATTTAATAACGTCTTGGTTTTACGTTGAAGAAAACATCTTAACTCCTTCTGTCCTGCTGTATGTAGTATCTATAGTATTTCATGCTTCATGGTGTGAGATAATTTTGAATAAAATGAAAACATGACAGCAAATATTAATTTCCTGGCTTCAAAGTTTTGAACATTAATGCCATATATGTGTGTGTAATATATATATGTGTGTGTGTGTGTATATATATGTGTGTGTGTGTGTGTGTGTGTGTGTGTATATGTATATAACGTCGCTGTCCATACATATATTTGTCTTTTAAAACTGTTCAGTTGGCATGCATATGTCAACGTCTATGGATAAATTACTCCTATATCATTCCATAATTATTTTAATTACTGAGCTTTGGACCTCTGCTCTCTCACTCTTTCTCTCCCTCTCTCCCTCTCTCACTCTGTTCTCTCTCTCTCTCTCTCTCTCTCTCCCTCTCTCACTCTGTTCTCTCTCTCCTCTCTCTCTCTCTCTCTCTCTCTCTCTCTCTCTCTCTCTCTCTCTGAGGTAATGACCTCCTCCTCTTCCCTCTTATTGACTGTGTCTGAGTTCAGTGCTGTGTCTCTGATCTCTGCCTTTATTTCCATCTCTCTGGAGAGTCCTGTAGCCCCGCCCCCTCTTAACTCCAGTTAGTTCTGTCAATACTCCTGTTCCCAGTGAGCCCACCCCACCACCACCGAGGTGTGGCCTGCAGGGGGCAGTGTGGAGTGGATCGTGATGGATATGTTTAATGATTTGGGACGCAGTGTTTGTTTTGTTGCTGTGTAGAACCATAAACAGCACATTCTCCATCAGTCTGAGGAACCATTTCTCCATGCAAAGAACCGTTTAAGCATGGAAATGCATCTATATAGAAATTGTGGTTGTAAATGGAACCACTGTCTTTACTAAAGAGCCCTTGAACCATCTCCAGGTGTGTGGTTAATGCCTGGAAGTGTAAAAGAAAGCATCACTGGAGCCGATTAGGTCGGTTGCAGGTGCTGCACAGTAAATTAAGACTCTAAGTAACGAGATGATCCTGACAGCAGCGCAAACACAGCAGATACTCTCTGACTGCGCTCGCATCGCAGGCCTCAGTGCTCAGTTCTGTTTAGTTTTCTGCCTGAAATTTCTCTCTTAATGGCTCACATTCGTTAAGCGACCCATATCTGTCCTTAGGGTGAACGGACCTGCGTCCTAAAACGACCTGCATGCACACGTCCTAATCAATAACACCGCAAACGTCATGGACAGCAGTAACCGAACAGACTGGCAGGATATGGCTTCACTGCAAAGATTGTTATCTGCTCTTAGCAAACACTTAGAAAAAGTCACATTTCTGCAAATTTTAGTGCAGATTTTCTGTTTAATTGCTGAATTCAGCCTAATGGAGGAAAAAAAGTAAAACATGAAGTGTTTTACCAGACTTTTGTACAGGCCTTTTTATTTATTTTAGATACACTATTTTTTTTAATGTGTTTATTTTATATAATCATTTTTTTTCAATATGTTAAATTGAGCAAATAAACAGCAGTTGTGTATTCAAACGTGCAGAAGTGTGTCTCAGTAGAAAACGTGTTCACCTATTTACATTTAAAAGATCAGCAACAGCATGGAATTTGACCAGGGGTGCACAAACTTTTGCACAAGGCTTTCGATCACTAAGCTGTTTTTGAATTAGGTTTATTTATCAGTGGGACGCCTGTAATAAACCTTCACTCGTCTCCTCAGTGATGAAACTCTCACAGCAGTAAAATTTCCACAAGGCGAGCGAGTTTCTACTGGGTTGTATTTTCTGTGTACCTGGTTGTTTGCATCACATGCGGTTATTGTTTCTAATAAAACAAAAGATGATAATATTGTGTATGTGTGAATATAAAGTAGTGCTTTTATATATTCGAATTCAGAAGTTTGAGCGTCCCTGGTCAAACTGTTTTATTGATTTTATATGCGTAAATAAGTGAACATGTCCTCTGCAGAGACACACGTCTGCACATTTCAATGCACAGTTACTGCTTATTCACAGAATTTGCAATATTTGGGGAAAAACAAAATGTAAAATGTGGCCAATGCAAAAGTTATGGCACATTTTTATATTTTGTTTTTTTTTCCCCAAGTGTTAAACAAGTAAATAGAAATAGTAAGTTTTGCAGGAAAATGTCATATTTAAGTGATTTCTGTAGAGGATGCGTTAATATTACCTAGAAAATCAACAAAACACATAATCTGACCTGCTGTGTTCAAACTTTTGCATATGACTGTACAAACAGTTGTCCAGCTCTGAATGTGGATAAATCTGAAGGCATGTACAACCCCACTTCCAAAAAAGTTGGGACGCTGTGCAGAATGTAAATGAAAAGAGATGCAATAATATGCAAATCATGTAGATCATATTTTTAAAGGAAAATACTACAAAGACAACATATCAGCTGTTGAAATTGCGAAATTTGATTGTTTTTTCAAAAATATGTGCCCATTTTGAATTTGATGCCAGCAACACGTTCCAAAAAAGTTGGGACGGGGGCCTGTTTACCACTGTGTTTCATCACCTCTTCTTTAACAACACTCTGAGGAGACACTGCTGTAGTTTAGAAAGTGAAATGTTTTCCATTCTTGTTTGATACAGGATTTCAGCTGCTCATCAGTTCAGGGGCTCATTTGTCATATTTTTCACTTCATAATGTGCCAAATGTTTTCAGTGCTGACAGGTCTGGACTGCAGGCAGGTCAGTTTAGCACCCGGACTCTTAATACGTAGCCATGCTGTTGTAATACATGCAGAATGTGGTTTGGCATTGTCTTGCTGAAATAATCAAGGCCTTCCCTGAAAAAGACGTCGTCTGGATGGCAGGATTTGTTTCCAAAACCTGTATAT